TTTAACATACAAACTACAAAAACGTGTCTGTGAATTGTTAATTTCGAAATATTTTTTCTTCGAGAGCGATTTTTGTACGATCACTCCACATTTTTTAAAACCTATTTCGAAAATGTTCTGTAACCTTTTAATGCGATTGAATATGGCAAAACACAGACACGTTTTTTTAAGCGCTTTGGGCCCTGAAACCGAGGAAACAATTAAATTGGCGAAAAACAAATTCGCTTTGACTTGTGACTTTCGAAAGGTGATTAGGGCGCTCGAATTTAATGGTCGTGACAAATTCGACAATTTATTTTATTTCAAAATTCTTGGCAAAGTTTGATAGCTAGCTCTGTAAGCTTTAATTTGATACTGGGTTTAGGTATGTACCGCCTAAACTGCATTCGCTACGTCGCTTGCACGCGAGACACCCCTGAAGGTATACGGTAACCTTAACTCAATTCCATGCTACTCGACCCATTTTCTAATAGTTTATTAGCGGAGCTCCGGCGGCCCGAAGGGCCGCCAAGCGGAACACCATAACTATAGGAACAGAACCACATGCATGCATAGAAATAGAAACCCATGCAACTCTTTATCATGGTCAACATGGCTAGCGGCATGGATCGCGGGCGCGTGCGCCCAACGACGCGACGACGACGACGTCGCGAACATGGCGGCTATACTTCAACTAATAACAAGTCTTGGTTTACAGCGTACGTCTGATATTTGACATCCATGTTATGGTCAATTGATACCTTTCAAAACAAGGTATCCGCTGACAAGTATCACGTGACCATATCGCGGGCTTAGATTTAAAGCTCATCGAGTTCGTGTGTCTTTTAAAGTTGACCGCTGACCAAGTACGTGTTTTCGATTGAATCGCAGGCTCATGTCAGGTTAATTTGTTGTAATCAGGGCCAGGTTGTTCGGAAATTGGATTAAGGGTAACCCAGGATTGAACGTTAACCGAAGTGTAAATTTATCTTCTCTACAAGTGTTTTTCACTGCTTTAGGGTCAGGGCTCATGGTGTAGTTTCAGATTATTCAAAATCAAAACAGAAGGCCAAAAATATAAAAAGAAAACCTCGCCGCAAAGTCACAAAACTCAAATTGAAATTCTTGCTTAGCCTGGGTTAGCTTAAGCGAGTTTCGAACAAAGCGGCCCAGGAGCTCCACTTTTAGGCTTGGCTAAATCTATATATTATTTACTAGAGGGTGTTAGCAGGACCCTTAATTGGGGGCGGAGACCGCAAGCGCGCGCCATTTCTAGTATTGGAACCTTCCCTATATGGGACAATTTTGCTATTTTTAGAACAAATTAAGCCATCGCGTGCGCACACGCGCGTATACGCTGCGAGGATTTTTGCGGATGTAGCCCGGGGAAAATGGCGTCCGAGATTCCGGAAATGTTGATGCTTTTGGCCTACAACTCAGTAAGTTTATGTCTGTTGGAATTTTGCTTAAGTATTTTCGTCGTAAGCTACTCCAGTTTGAGTGAGGTAAGACAGTGTGGAGTTTAGGTATTTCCCGTCTTTTGTCCCTAACCAAGTTGTGTTCCGTTGCTTCTTTTAGAAGAGCTCCTCATTACTCCTCATTAAGAGCTGGGATAAAAGAATGCTCGTATTCGGCCGCAAAACATGCCGGGCCGACTTGTGAGCCAACAAATTGAACTGGTTCTCTCCGACAACGACGAAGATGTCTTAAACGCCGGGAAGCAGCTAAGCACTTGTACTTCAATCTCTTGATAATTTGCAGCATTTTCATGACGAAACAGAACAGAAGGTAAATAAGTTTTGCCTGGATGCCTCCAAACACCAGTGCTGGGGACAGAGCTACGAGGAACGAGAACAAAGCCACCACAAATGTTCCCCCAAGGACTGTTAGTGCACTTACTGACACTACCACGAATGAGCTTGATACAAAGGTAAGGAACAAGAGGAGTGGCAGAAAAACAAGGCTAACTACGATAGCCAGGAAGAGTGAGAAGACTGGATGGTTTAAGATAAATTTCTTCATTTGTCTGAGCATGCGCACTGCTTGGCATTCCTTTAAATCATTCACTCGTTCTGAAGCTGCTCGCAGATTATTCATCAACCAAGGACATAGGTAGTCGATATCTTCGATCCAAGTCATGACGAATAGGCACTGGAGAAGAAAGATAGACAATTTTCTTCAAAACCTAGTATTAACAAACTGTTCGATACAAAAGAAAAAGAAGTTGAATTATCTTCCAATCACAGAAACTTCCAGTTGCTAAAGAGTTGTTTTTCTCTTTATTACAGTGAGACATTGATCTAGTTTTACGAGCTGAAAAAAACCCCCTGTTCACACTTTTTGCGCTAACAGTTTCCTTTTCTTCAGCTGGAAAGCTAAGGCCGCAAAAAAATTGCAGTTCGAACTTTTCTCAGTTACAGTGTGATCGTCTTACCTGTTTAATCCACAGGAGTCGATTTCTCTGAGAAGCTTTACAGTAGAAACTTTCGCTTTCTTCAGCAAACGAACTGAAAAGACTCGCTACACTCGAAAACTAAATGCGTTGTATTTATCATGACGTCATAATT